TGGAAATTGCCGCCAGGTTGTCCTCAGACTGTGTCTGTGAATAGCAAGCAGCCATCAGGGCACTAAAGATCGATTGTTAGACTGATGGTCCTCCTTTTACATGTGAAGCCAGTTTCTGGAAGCCCCCAGTAGACTGGTTTGAGCCACTTTGAAAAGGTGCTATTTATATGACTAAGTTTGTGGCAGGCCTCAGACTGAGGAAGTCTTTCGGATGAAAGACGAAACGTTTCTATCTAGCATAATCTGCCCAGACGACCTGACTTAACTTTTTTTTTTTGCATAGGGTGAATCCCCCCAGACTAATACAGGCACCGAGCTGTGGACACGAGTAAATAAGTTCTTAAAGCTTTAAGCAATGCGCATGTTTGAAGTAGCATCGCTCCCCTACGACTTTCAGACAGAATAAAAATAAATATGAGCATTTGCGGCTTCTTGTCACAAAAAAAGTGTCTTTAATAGTTTTTAAACGTTTGACTTTAAGTCATGGCTACACAATGCCATAATGTACAGGATATGACTACATAGGAGAAAAATGCTAAAAAATTATGTTGAGGAGACTTTGAGAACTTTTTTTTTTCCTTCAAGCCCACAGTTTTTTTTAAATCAAACCTTCCCCCATCTGTTTTCAAAGTATCAAATATGAACGCCGAGGAAACACCTCTGTTCTTCTGAGTATCAGGTAATTTATCTACTTTCTTAGGAGTACAGTATAGGAAAAAACTGCTAAATGTCACTGAACAGTACTTAACCATTTATCAGCCTCATTTTTTACAGAAAATTTTGAGAAATGGCAAATTATGTATTTGTATTTTACCCAAAGCAATGCCTACAAGGCTGTTCTGTTCATGTAATACAGAATTGTAATGTTTTTGTGCAACTAAAGACTCACATTTTAGGATGTGCAGTTTGTCCAAAAGATTACATAAACATTCTTTGGAAGTAGGGTCATAATCTATAATCAGAATCACATTTTAGATATAGCAGAACAAGGATTTATCCGATGAACTGTTTTGATCCCTGGATCCAAACTGCTAATACAACTAAACCCTGAGTCGTAATTATTTGCCTTTTTTACATTTTTGATCCATTTATGAACATTTCATTTTTTGTAGTCCCCTCTTTTCTTTTCTCCAATTTGCTGTCAGAATATTGTTCACCTCACCACAATTTTTGTCTGTTTCACAAACCTTTAAAAACACAACATTTACTTGAAGAAGAAAGAAAACACCTGGTTTGGAAATGCTATACAGCTGTTTTCTCCACAGCCCTGCATACACGAACACACAAATAGGTTTTTGCCTATGTGACTTATTGTTTATTTTGTTATTTACAGATAAATTGCATTTTCTGAAAGGAGTAATCAAAGTGGGCGGGCTAAAAGAAATCAAAATAGAAAGTACAACTTTAAGGCGGCACAACTTTAAGCCTGATAATCCACTGATAAACATCCCGAAAGACTGTTTCTTTTAATATTTCTTTACTGTTTTTAACAGAGCTCTTGACAGTCCAGCACTAAACTTTGGGTATCCCACAGAAAAGCATTTTAATTTTTTTTTGTTTTTTTTTACCGTAACCGGAGTACATCTTTATTTTTGTCTAGTACCTACAACTCACAGTCACACAAGAATGAGCAAGTTTTTGTACACATTAAATGAAACAGTTGAGTGAAACGGTGATCTTCGCCCTAATTGTGTGACAACTAACCCGTCTTTGGCTTAGTCTGTGTTGGAAAGTTTAGACATCAGTATCAGATTGATCATTGAAATTAGATCACATTCAGATTGTAATACAAGTCACGTGTTTCCAGATGTGTCTGGATATAAGTCAGGTTTATAGGCAAAGTTTTTCTCCTCTCTGGCAATGATAAAACTGCATATCGATGAAGTTTTGGGTCAGAATAGCTGTTCATTTCATCTGATCTTAGTTGCAATTAAAAAGTCCAGAGTAATAACATCAGCTGTGTTGCTTTTCTCATTATTTTAGTATTATTTTACAGCTTTTGCACATTTGGATCTAAACTCTAGAGAAGTCACTGGATGCTGATATTTGGTTGTTATTTTGACTTTAATTTGAACTAAACCCCCTCATATCAGGACTGTAATTTACTCAAAATCTCCAGCATGACCCTTGAGGCGATGAGATGTTTAAAATTGTGGCTGAAATCTGTATTAGTATGTATAAATATAATTTGACTTTGTAAACTATTGCATAGAATTGCATTCACAGACCGCTCAGCACAGGAGAGCCAGCTCCTCAGGACAAGACTCAGAGGGTCATCTACACCTCAAGGATAAGGAACACTCCCAACAATTTTCAGTCAGGTCATCTGGACAGTTTCTTTTTTTTTGTGTGTGTGTGTGCTGAAATGTTTCACCTTCCATCCAGAAGGCTTCATCAGTCAAGGAAACACACAACACAAAACTGATTATTCCCCCAACAGCTTACTCCAAAGTGGAACAAACCAGTTATGTTGGTGCTAAGATGGTCTCTTTGGCACCCTGTGTTTCCTTGGCTTATGAAGCCTTCTGGATGGAAGGTGAAACGTTTCTGCACAAAAAAGGAAACCGTCCAGATGACTTGGCTGAAAACTGTTGGATTGTATACCTGGATTATTGAGCATGGACTTTGTTGGATAAGGGACACTCTTTTGAGGACCAGAATGTTCACATTTTGGACTGAGAAGACAGATGGTTTGAGAGGGGGGTGAAGGAAGCTGTTTATGTAAATAGAGAGAAACCATCTTTAAACAGGAGGAGGTCTCCGTTTTCAATTTTCAAAAACCTGTAATGCATCTTTAGGACATATACCCAGTCATTTTCACACCTACCAGGAATTTCAACCATGTGACCAGAGTGACCCCTCTGTGAGCCAGACTAACAAAGACCCTAACGATCATCTATTGTGAGAACTTAGTGAGAGGGCAATCTGCATGTGACAGTCTGCATTATGCAAGCTTACAGAACACCTCATCTTTATAACTTGAATCCCACACTCGTTTCTTTGAATTGAGAAAGCTCCTCAGATGAGAAGCGAAACCGTCTTCAGCTACAGAACAGAAGTCCAGTTGTTTTAATCTTGTTTGGATTTACCATGTCCTGGATGACTGACAATCTTCACCAGCATCTTACATTGAAAAACTTTAATGTAAATCTCTTTAACAGCAAGCCTACAAGTCTAAGAAAAGCATTGACTCTTGTGTCACACAGTGTCTTGTTAAAGGTTAGTCTAATCAGTTTAATTTGGAAACACGAGTCTCCTGTGTTCCTGCAGTGAAGCCAGCTTCTGTTTGTGTGCAGTAGTGATCCATGGCCCTGGCTGTTGTAAATCACTCCTCCTGTAGACCAGTGCGAGGCGTTTGTTGCTGTCCAAGCAGGAGTTGCTGTGTCTGTCTGCCTCCTCTCCAACTCTCCAGTCCGTTTCCCTCTCTCCAGGGGACCTCTGGAGCCAGTTACAGCGTTGACTGTTTTTGGACGAGCTCCCAAATATTTGCAGGATGATATTGTAATCCGAAAGCTCTCGTGAACAGGATTGTGGTTTTCACCCTGCATTCTGTGGTTGGATTGGATCACAGCGCCAGCTTTTCAACTCCACATGATGCTCAGCTCTTTCAGTATCTACTGTTTGATTCTTGTTTTTTAGGTCACTTGTGATTTTAATATAAAAAAAAAGTCATTAAAAATCATCATAATAGTCATCTTTTTGACAAGGAACTCTAAATTTCTGTGCTCTGGTATAAACTCTGGTCTTCATGGACATTTTTTAAATCATTTTTATATACCTTACAATTATAAATATAGTATGAATTATCTTTCGTCCTGTTTCTGTGATTAAGTGGTGTTGGACTTGATAATACCTGCACTTAATCTAACAATGTTGAACTTTGCTTAGTTTTATTTTTATAGATATTTTCTGCGTTGTGACTTAATCAATCATTTTTGTTACTTTAGAGATGTTTTTTTCTTGTAATGACATTTTTGCTTTAGAAGACTCACTATTTCCAAAATAACACCAGTAAAAACCATTACATTGCATTCTCGCGCCATAATCTGAAAGTCTAAGCTGCGATTCTCTTCTCAGTGATTTGAGGATGCGTATTTATTTATAATCTGCTAAATGTTGTTTGCCCGAAGAATTAAAAGTAGAAATTAGTTCCTCATAAGATCTAGGTTTTCAATTCTTACACAGATCTTCTGTTGCATATACATAGTCTTTTCCACCACACACTGCAGGACTGCGCTGTAATGAAGCACACTTCTGTAGGACTAAAACTTTAAATTTGATTCAGCATTTTATGAAAAATAGTACAACAAAATGATAAGCACACTCCAAGTAAGACTATTTCTCCAAAAAGAACAGAAGAGTATAAATTGTTGCATTGCTTTAATAAACTCCCTTCTTTGGATTATTTTACCGGTAATTGAATTATTTTTTTTTAAATGTGTAATTGTTTATGTTGCCAAAGCTGACTTAGCGTAGGTTTTTAATATTGGTTGTTGGAAGTTGCCAAGTTTGCCTAGTTTTTGTTTTGCAAAGAACATTTTCTTAAAAATGTAAAATTGCTTCAGTTTTTATTAACAGTTGTTGAAACGGGTCCACTGGCCAAAATAAACAATTGAACACTGTCAATAGAAATCATGTGGCAGCACAAACTCCATGTGAAATCATTTGTAATGCAGCTTTTTGAGCACTGTTGGAGCTGCAAAGGTGGTGCAATACAATTATACTGAGTCTGTTCAACTGACTGACTATATAAACCTATTAATACCTTTAGTTTTTATTAATGCGAGTTGATTTTTAAGAACACCTGTGAGAATCCTTCCTAGTGCCTCAAAAAAAATCAAACCATTGCCATAATCGAGTGAAAGAAGGTTTCCACCTCAGTTATACACCAGAGGAGTGATCCTAAAATAATTTAGGATCAGTCTTTTACACTTCAAGTAAGTTGTGGCCTCCTTTTCTAGTCTCTTAACTTTTTTCTCTCTTTCTCTCTCTCTCAACAGTGTGCCCAAGGGCCGTTGAAAGCCCCCTTGGGGGAATTTCATAAATACACAAAGAACAAGGGAAGCCTTTTGGACTGTTGTTTTTTTATTTACACACTTTCACTTACACACACACACACACACACACACATACAGCCACACACACAGACAAGGACGTAGAAAGAATGTTGGAGGTGCAGGAGGAGAGGCCAGCGGCGGCAGGTACAGCAGCGACACATTTCAGCAAGAAGGAGCGAGGGAAGAAGGAGAGGGAGGAGGCAAAGGACGGTCGGGGGAACCTGTCGAACATTGGAAATCCTGTTGCCAGCTCCAGGAACGTGCGTTCGAAAGCACCTCTCACGCACACGGGCAGCCCTCACCAGCTCATCACTCCACCCTGTTCTGTTGTCCTGGGAGCCCCATCAATGCACTCCAATAGACTGAAGAACTCCCCGTCCACCAACACACAAAGGTGAGAGGACTTTTCATGCTCTTGACCTATGGCTCAATTAAAACAGATTCAAATGGTTTAAACCGCTTTTTAAAATTAAAATTTAGGAATGCACGATATTATCGGCATGTATCGTATCGGCCGATATTGGTGTTAAAGTTCAATATCGGACATCGGCCATTCCATCAAAATTACTCACCGATATAAAAGACGCTGTTTTTGAATGACAACCCAGTAACAAGGATGCCTGCAGCGGCAGCACAACGTGATGATGCCACGCACGCCTACCTGATCTGATCACGGCGGAGAGGAAGAAGTCAAAATGTCGTCGGTGTAGAAGTTTTTTTTCGTTGTTGAGGATGTCAGATTCTGAAGATTTTTAGACTACGTTGAGCCTCGCTACATCGTCCCCAGTCGGATATATTTTTCCAACGTAGCCTTACCCGAGTTACAAGCCGTCATTTCTGACGTCATTGAGAAGCTAATATCCGATAGCACTTGGTTGAGTTTTACCACAGACATTTGGACGTCATGTTAGCCCCGTTAGCATGATTAGTCTTACTGCACAATGGATAGACAAAACTTTGAACTTAAAAAGTCTGTCCTTCATGCACAAGAGTGCAGAGGATCCACACTGCAGCTAGGAACCTGGAACAAGCCTCCACAAGTGAGACAGCATCGCAGGTGACTAATGCTAATGAATAACATTTAACACTTTTCATTTAATATAAGTTAAAATGTTATGCATATTAGGGCTGCAACTAACGATTATTTAATAATCGATTTATCTGACAATTATTTTTTCGATGAATCGATGAATCGGCAAAAAAAAACAACAACGTTTTAATTTCCACCCCTTTATTCCAAAATTGAACATTTGACTGACATAGCAATTCACACAAAAAACAGGTTGCTATTTGACTGTTAGTAAAATATTGAATAATAAAAAATAAAAGTTAGTCACATAGCTTAAAAAAATAAATGTACACAAAAATATATACAAATGTATCTTTATACCTGCAAAATATGTAGCTACTTTGTAAAATGTGTCCTTGGGGGAAGAGTGTAACCTGGATTAAAAGTGTGGATTATTGTAACCTGGATTAAAAGTGTGTATTGTAGTGAAGCTTTCATCTTCAACCATCGACAGAGGCCTCATGTCAGTGACGATCATGTTCAGGATGTTTCAGTGAAGACAGCTGCTGCTGTGGTGTCCATGATGTCTGTCCATCATGAAGTGTTGTTGTTTGTTGTTGTTTTCTGGAATGAGAGAGTAAATATGTTTTATAGCATAATTTACAGCAAATCAAGAAATGCCTTGTTTCACTTACATTGTTAGGTTCAGGCAAAAGTAGCTAAAAGAGCAATTAAACACACACAGACACACACACACACACACACACACACACACACACACACACACACACATAAAATACTTAATTACACACATTTGAGTAGATGTAATAAATTACTTTAATTCCTGTTTAAATGCAATTCATCCTGCCATACCTGCAGTGTCTTCAGACTTTGCCAGCAAATTAAAAGTTGAAGCTTAATCATTAAATTATTATCTTTGTGTTAGATTTATTTATAAATCACATTTAAACACTGCTTGTACCAATTAAATTAAATAAAAAGTAACACACGTTCTCTATCACCGTCATTAATCAGATAAACAAACAAACAAGCAGCAGCTTCATCTACCAGAGAGACTGACGTTACGTTTTCTCTCTTGAAACAGAACAATGTGTTAAATTGTAGAGACTCACCTGCAACACATGAGTTGGGAGTGAAACATGTTGTATCAGCTGCAGCTCCTTCCTCCTCCTCGTGACTCCGACATGTTTACGTTTATCTCCGTGGTTCTCTCGTGTCGTGTCGGCGATTTTCAAAGCTGGATGCTTCTCATTTTTTATCTTTGTGAAGTTCTCCCACACTTTGGAGGACTTGGGTCGAACAGTTTTCGCTGCATCTTTTGTAAAATTTACTTAAATTTCCTTTGAAAACAGTCTCTGCTCTGCTCCCCCCTCGCTCTGTTCAACTCGCGCTGCAGTTTTTTTTTTTTTCAAACTTTATTCAGTCAGTCAGCATTGACAATGAACTGCCCGTGAACAAAACGAAACGGCTCCGCAGCGCCGTGATAGATGCATAATCGCGCGACACAACGAATCGACATTGAAATTCGTTGCCAACGCTTTTAATCATTGATTTTTATCGATTTTATCGATTCGTTGTTGCAGCCCTAATGCATATCATATGGCTGTTACTGAATATATGTCACCAGCTCTTACAGCTGTTACACAATTTTTGTAGCAAATGAGCCTAATTAAATAAGAGGGCTATGTTCTGACTAAGACTCGAGAACATACATCTGTGGACATATCTACAAGATGTTGCACCAGCTCGTAATAGGTTAGTGAGAGAGAAAATTCCAAGACCTGGCAAAATCCCCTGGCTTGGTGAAAACCTCCATTTTCACTTAGTTATCTGTTAATTTAGGTTTAAGAGCTGTTTTTGGGACAGAGAGTACACCAGGCTTGGAAGTTCTCCCTGCTGACTCATGGATCTGGAGTCTCTGGAAACGGCTGTCAGGACTGCCAGAATTCTAGCTTTGTTTTTCTTTCTGCTAGCTATGTGTCTGCGTATGCGTACATACAGTGTGCTAGGCTGTAGCTCTACGTTTTGGACATGTTGTCTTATGCTTCATGCTACTTGTACAAGTATATATGTTTGTGGAAGAGGAGAGACAAGAGAAAGAGATTAGGGTGTGGTGAGGAAATTCTCTGCCAGTTGGATGTGTCCTGTTGCCTGAACTGAACTGCTCTCATAACTCATAAGCAGTAGTTGTACATAGACGGCCTGTATGTCCACAATCTGCTCCACATTTGTGTGCATTAAATTGCCAATTCCAACAACTTTCAACAGGGATTTGTAGAACTTTATGACTTGCCATTATAACATTATGTTTCTTAGTTGTAAAAACGAGGGAAAGAATAATCAAATTTTCCTTCTGGTCCTCTTTTACTAAGCTTATGGAGAACTAAACCAATATTTTTACTTAATTGTATACTTCTTAGAACCCAGATGTCTAGATATAGTATGTACTTTGCCTTTTAAACTTGTCTAGGGCCCGTTTCAAAATGTATAAAACTTGATGAAATAATGTAATTCTTTGAGCATTTAACCTTATATGTTCTTTTTTAAAATGTTCTGTGAGTTTATTAAGCACATCAGAGGCCTTAATGTTTTGATGTAATTTGCTGGTACATGGCTGGTATCAAACTAAATGCGTCCTTTGTATTTCAGTCCTAAACCCAAGACGGAGGCCATGGTACGTTCACCTCCGGTCATGTCCCCCTCTACTGCCGCCCAGATGGACTCTAAAATGCCCAATCAGGGTAAACCAGGGAGCACAGGCAGCCAATCACAATCCTCTCCTTGTGACCCCAAAAACATGGGTGCCAAAGGAGCTCAAAATGTTTCAGGGGGAATGGGACTGAAAAACGGACAAGGCCTGACGTCTGGCCCCAGCTCCAAGGTGAAAGTCAAACGGGAGAGAAGCACCTCTGTTGAGTCGTTTGAGCAGCCAGAGAGCGGCACACCCACTAGTGACGACAAAGGTAAATAAAAAAAACTCGGTACTGTGTTTCACTTTGACTCAGTCCATCTTGAATAATCAGGAAATACGGCATCGATGCTTGATGCAATTAAATATAGTATTTTAGAGATTTGCAAACCCTACAATATTTTTTTGGAATACCGTATTTTCTGCTGTACACGTTGCACCACCCTATAAGTCTCATCAGTCCATATTTGTCTAATAAAGTGGAAAAATCCATAAATACGTTTCATCTGTTATCATCACCGCTGACGCGTTGCGTTTGTTACGCATCACCACTGACAACACGGACATGTTGGTTGGTGTTGTGCCAAAAATCGATGGGCTGCCAAATGTTGGCCGCTGGAGCGTGCATGGGAGGACTTTAAGAAGAATTTAACAAGATTAACACTTAAAAACAATTATTTGTTTGCTTGACTTTATAGTAAAGGTGTGCCTCAGTCTAACATTTGCTTAATAAAAGGACTTTAACAGTCAAATCAGCTGCATTTCAAAAGTATTCGTTGCCTCGGTGCTCTGGGAGTGTGTAGACAGGGAGGGAAAAAGAAGAAGGAATGCTGCGCGTTACTTCAAAATTTAACAAGATAAACACCTAAAACAATTATTTGTTTGCTTGAAATTATAGCAAAGGTGTGTCTCAGTTGAACTTTTACTTAATAAATGCACTTTAATGGTGAAATTAGCTGCATTTCACCGGGAGGTGCAGCGAAATGAAGCTGATTCGGTTGCTCCAGGCAGACGACGGTGGCAGGCTATGGCAAGCCGATTGTGTCATTAATAGCTGGTGAAGATTCTCAGACATCCAGGACATGGTAAATTACAAAAAGTTCAAGAAAAAAAACCCAATAAAGTATAAAGTAAAGTATAATAAATAAAGTCCCGTTGTTTGTGTCTTGGAACTTTTTTGAATTAGTCGTTAAGCCACGTTTACCTATTACATGATACAACAGCATGCCTTACTGCTACTACTACTCTTCTGCCATCTAGTGGTTGGAAAAATGGCAGTGTTCAATTTTTTTCAGTCAGAATGAATGAAAACGGTCATATCTCAGCTAAAAATTGGTTTATAAATATGGGAAAAATCCATAAATACATTGCTTCGGCCTGTAAGTCACAGGGCAAATTATGCAAAAAATCGCAACTTATAGGGCGACAAATACAGTATATTGCATGAGAAAGTCCACCCAGAAAAGCAAATTAAAAAAAATCTGATTATTTTTTTTTTTTTTTAGAAAAGTGAACTGTCATTGTTTCTTACACTAACAGAATAAACCCACTGAGTTGTGTCTGTCTGTACAGATAGTAGCAGGGTGAAGAGAATGTGTGTGGCAGAGAGGAGGCAGCCTTACAGTGGAGCTGACTGGTGCTCAGGGGGTGAAAGTGATGAAGATGACAAAAGTTTCTTCAGTGAGTCTGTTAACATGTTCATCCATGCATGTTTGCTTTTCCCTATTCAAATTAAATAACCTCTGTTAATGTTACATTTAAAATAATTATTTTTATATTAAGTTTTTGTCTGCTTTTTACAAGTCCTGTCCTTTTGTGTTCGTTTAGATTGTAATTCCAGCGATGTGAAGCCCCAGGACACTGTCACACATTCTACCTCCAACGCCGGACTCAGTCGCTCCTCCACACCCTCCCACAGTACACTGGGAGGCCAGGGCTCCACAACAGAACCTGCTAGTGGCCAGAAACCCGGCTCAAAACTTGTTTATGTCTTCACCACAGAGATGGCAAACAAGTAAGAGAATAGCCTTCTTGTTCTTAACAATGTAACTTTAAATCATCCATAGCATTTTAGTTACTATAATCAATATTTAATGTATATTTGTACACGTTTTAATAACTAATATAGCTAATGTTTTAGCAAATTATTTAAAGCGTGAACACTTCTACATAAGACATGATCTCAGGAACTTTTGTTTAATCGTTGTTCAACATGAAATAGAATTGCCTACCATTTAAATTGCCTCAAGTACAGTATATTATGTGGTTGATGTTTTTTTCTATTTGTGACAAATGTTTTGCTTTGGCATCAAGACACCAAGTCTTTATCATCCTCACACACTATGAGTTAAAACTAAATTCTTTTGTGTGTCTTCTCAAATGTGTGCAACATTCTGTGAAAACTATTAATACTCTAGTTAGGGATTCGAGATAAAAGATGTGGTGAATTAAGTAAAGTTGTGTATGCAACAATGTGCTTGATTTGTTGACCTCAGCTTTGCCTTCATGGTCCCATCTAGATTGAATTTATCCAGCTCACCATCTCTCAGATACACACACTGTTGTGTCAGTTGACTGATATGTGTGTATTTTTATCCTCAGGGCAGCTAATGAAGTTCTCACTGGCCATACAGAAAACATCATTGCCTTCCACATGAAAAACATCTCCAACAGCAAAGATAAAGCTCACCTCTTGGTAAACATGCACACTAACTTGTAATGTTACAAACACTGGCATCTTTGAGAGAACATTACTGACATTATCTCTTAATTTAATTTTTTCTATCTCTATCAAAGAACAATGCAGCTGGCGTCCTGCGAAATGACTCAAAGCCTTCACAGCAGCCTCCGTCCTTAGCCCAAGATCAAAGCCACCAGCCTGGATCCAAACCGTCCTTATCTGGGATGGCAGAGCCAGCACCACCTCAGCCTTCAAATCAAGGAAACCAGTCCTGTGTTCTTCCACAGGAAGGCTCATCCTCAGCAGGCATGGAATCCAAAATTATTCCAGGCAATAGCCCCAGTAACCCTACAGCCCCAGTAGACCAGACTTCGGCCAACCAACCTGAGACAGGCCTCAACCCTGCTACATCAGTTGAAGGTGGCCAGGGTGGAGGCACTGGTGGAACAGGTCTGACCCCACAACAGCAGCAACAACAGCAGCAGCTGGCCCAGGAGTTGTTAAACATGGAGGCCAACACAGAAGGTCTGTCACAAGAACAATTAGAACATCGTCAGCGCTCTCTGCAGACCTTGCGAGATATTCAGCGCATGCTCTTTCCCGATGATCGTGACGCTCCACCAGCTGGGCCCCCACAACCCCACAGTGGACCCCTTGATGGAGGCCCTGATGGTGCACCACGGAGATCTGAGCAGGGCCCTCTACAAGCAATGATGGCACAGTCTCAAAGCCTTGGCCCAGCAGGTGGACCTGGAGGACCTCGTCCACAAGGCCCACCTTTTGGACCGCCTCACGGACCCAGAGACATGCCTGCTTTTCCACCAGATGAACTGGGTCCACACATGGGTCCAGGCAGTTGTGGAGAAGGAGACCAGATGACTCCAGAACAGGTGGCTTGGCTTAAGTTACAACAAGAGTTTTATGAGGAGAAAAGAAAAAAACAAGAAATGCAACACCGTCCTCTTGCTCCAGACATGATGATGCACCCCCATGGCCCACGTGGCATGATGCGAGGACCCCCGCCTCCCTACCAAATGGGCCCAGGAGAGATGTGGGGAGGACCAGGTGGTCCACCAGAGCATTACCCAGAGCGAATGGGAATGGGCCCTGGCCCCAGGGGCATACCCCCACATATGCAGAGGATGCCCGGCTTCTCTGGTATGATGAATCCTGAGATGGAGGGCCCCCCAAGGCCTGCAATGAGCTGGCCTGATGACATACCTCCCCGAATGGGAGAAGCGCGAGGCTTCCCTGGAGGGCCTGGAGGAATGTTTGCGGGTCCAGGGGCTCGCGGTGAACGTTTCCCTAATCCTCAGGCAGTCCAGGAGGCAATGTTCCACCAAGGAATGGGTGGGGAGAAGGGCCTCCCTCCAGGTATGATGATGGATGTGCAAAGAATGATGGGGCACCAAAGAGGTGGAATGGAACCAGGTAATGGCATGGGTATGTTTCCAAGATTGCCTGTTGAGGGCCCCATGAGTCCATCCTCAAGGCTGCAAGGAATAGGGGGCAGAGAAATGGGGCCTGAGTTTGGCATGGGGCCTGGACCTGGACCTCATATGCACCCTTCCAAACTACGAGATCCCCCTATGAATATGAGTCCTGATGAAATAATGAGAATGAGAGGTAGTGGAGGACCTCCTATGGAGAACATGGGTCCACAAGGCAGACCTATGCAGGTCCCCCCCTTTGCTGAGCAGACACCATCAGACTTTCCAATGGGACCTGGGCGGCCCTTCCCTGGGGGTCCAGGAGGAATGAGGGGTCCACATGCAGACCAAGCATTTGGTCCAGAGCACAGAGCCACACCATCAGGAGGTAATGGTCGTATTAACCACCTCTCCTCAGGTGGTGGTCCTAGTCAAGGTCAGAGGAGCCGCAAGCCAGCTGATCTGAATGTTCAAGCAGGAGGGGGGAACTCTCCCAGTGTTAACCCACTCAAGTCCCCTCCTCTGAGGCAAGGGCAGTCTCCCATAATGGGTTCTCCCTCCGGAAACCTTAAATCTCCTCAAACTCCGTCCCAGCTGGCAGGCATGCTCACTGGTCCCACAGGTCCCAGTGCTCCTCCAGCCCCTCCAACTTCTGCACCAATGAAATCTCCCCACTCCATGATGGGATCAGCAGGTGCCTCTCCTGTTCATATGAGGTCTCCATCTCTTCCAAATCCCTCTCCGTCATGGGCCTCTTCACCAAAACCACCCATGCAGAGTCCTGGAGTGCCCCAGCAGGGTGGCAAACCTCCACTCAGCATCACATCACCAAACATGATGGGGATGGAGCCGGGTATGTATAAAATGAGTCATTTCTGGGCATGTCTGACACTGACTTTGTCTTTTTACAGTGGAATCCTTTTCAAATGTTTAGAATATATTTTTTCAAAATTCAATATTTGGATTTCTTTTTAGTATTTTTAATAGCAATTGTATACATTTTGTAGTCATTTTTTCCTACTTTTTTAACAAATCTTGTACTTTTTTAACTTGGAGTATCTGTTACTTTACCTTTTTACAAAAAAGCAAATATCTTAAAACTTCAAAGTTATGTTTCCTTCAATTATCACATCTGTATGTAGTCTGGGTGGGGTTGGTTACAGTCCAGTGGCTCCCTCTTCTGGCTATATAACTTGAGTCACATACTTGTTTGATACAAGTAAAGCGTTGGGACACTTTTTCTAAATAAGTGGGTTGTTTTCTTAAAACTTGTAAAAACTTGGGCTGAAATACTGTTAATATAATCTAATATTTAAATATCATTTAGAGAATTCCAACAAGGTTAAGTCAGGTCCTCTGGATTCTTGTTTGTTGAAACGTTTCGTTTTTTTGTCCAAAAGACTTCTTGAGTCGGGCAGCACGGTGGCGCAACTGGTAGAGCTGCTGCCTCTCAGCGAACAGGTCCCTGGTTCAAACCCCGGTCCAGGGGCCTTCTGGGTGGAGTTTGCATGTTCTCTCCGTGCATGCGTGGGTTTTCTCCAGGTACTCTGGTTTCCTCCCACAGACCAAAAACATGCATGTTAGGCTGATTGGTAACTCTAAATTGTCCCTAGGTGTGAGTGAGAGAGTGAATGGTTGTTTGTCTCGTTTGTCTCTATGTGGCCCTGTGATGGACTTGCGACCCGTCCAGGGTGTACCCCGCCCCTCGCACAGTGATTGCTGGACATGGGCACCAGCGACCCCCGTGACCCAAAATGGAATAAACGGGTAAAGATAATGGATGGATGGATGGACTTCTTGAGTCTGAGATCTTGTTACAAGCTCAGTCTTATAAACAGCACCTTCTCATAGAAGATCAACCAGTTTGTTGCCAACAGTCAGAACCAGCTAATCACATGCAAAAAGAGGACCATCAGCCTAACAATTGGTCGTTAAGAGCTCAGATCTCAGACTAAAGAAGACTTTAGGATAAAAGACGAAGCGTTTCAACAAACAAGAGTCCAGTTTATTTATATAGCACCAAGTCACAACAGAAGTCATCTCAAGCCATTAGGTGTTTCTACCTGGATTGTTGAGCATGCATCAAGACATCATGTAGAGAATGTTGGCCTTTCTTGTGTTATGTTTCTGTATATGATTTTTTTTCTCCACTTTACCTTGTAGGTGGGAATGGTCCTCCTTCTGCACCTCCCTCATCAGGGGCTCCCTCTGGGTCCATGTCTCTCCCAGGCAACGTCCCGTCTGGCAGTCCATACACCATACCACCAGAACCAACATTATCTCAGAACCCACTGTCCATTATGATGTCACGCATGTCCAAATTTGCAATGCCCAGCTCGACTCCACTTTATCATGATGCCATAAAGACTGTTGCCAGCTCAGACGACGACTCGCCTCCGGCTCGTTCTCCCAATCTACCTTCAGTGAACAATAATGGTAAGATGTCTGAAATGCCTACTGCTGCTTGTTTAGAGTCTCTGACAATAACTCTGAAGAAAAAAATGGAAGAAAGACACAAAATACAATATAACTCAAGCGCTTAACTAAATGTTGTTTTTTATTTTTGGTTTATAGGTATGGCAATGAATCACCAAGGAAATCCACGCATGATGGGACCTGGAAACCCTGGATCCATGTCTGCGCTCAGCCCTCTGGGCATGAATCCAATGGGATCCCAGCCTCTCTCTCATGGCATGCCTCCCCAAATGCCCTCTCCCAACGCCCCAAATATGGGCCCAGGCATGATTCCCCATGGCATGATGATGCAACCAAATCCTCAAGACCCCGGTATGCCAAATCCTCAAATGATGCCCCAAGGACGAATGGGTTACCCTCACAGAAACCAGGGATACCCTCTCACGCAATCTCCTTCTCAGCAAGGCCCCTTTTCACCGCACAATGGTCCTGGTCCCCAAGGTTTTCCTGGCCATTCAATGGGCTTCCAGGGTGAGGGAGGACCTATGGGAGGACGAATGGGGAACATGCCTCATGGGGGAGGGGGTGATGGGGGTATATGCAAGCCTAATACTCCTGGCGGACCAGAGTTCAACAACATGCAAGGAGGATTCAGTGATGCAGACCTTCATGAAGTGATGCGGCCGGGAGCCTCGGGCATTCCTGAGTTTGACCTTTCTAGGATAATTCCATCAGAGAAACCCAGCCAGACTCTTTCGTATTTCCCCCGAGGTGGAGGAGACAATCCTGGGGGAAAACCACCCCACCCCTCTGGCTTTCCCATGCAAGGTATGATAGGTGATGGCCCACCAAGGATGGGAATGCCAATGCAGGGGATGGGAGGGATGTCAGGGGGACCTGGTGGAGGTATGGGTCCTCAAGATATGCCAATGGGTAACCCTGGTCACAATTCAATGCGACCACCAGGTTTCATGGGTCAAGGCATGATGGGCCCTCAGCACCGAATGATGTCCCCTGGGGGTCCAGGAGGGATGATGCAGGGCAGACAAATGGCTCACCCAGGCCCCGGCGGCTCACCTAACATGTTGATGTCACTGCAGGGCATGGGAGGCCCTCCACAGCAGACAATGATGATGGGGGGTCAAATGAGGCCGCGTGACATGGACATGGGTTTCAGTCCAGGACATGGAATGTTCTAATCCAACAAAAACCTTGTAACTAGAATGTTCTTGGACAATACACAAGGATGATAAAGTTCATGGAGTGTAGCAAGTATTCAAAAGAACTGATGGACTCAAGTACCTGAGACAACACGAGGATGTGCCCAGGAAATGAACAACTTGGAGCTAGCCTGTCACCTAGTAATGTCTTGTGGGGACTGTTCCAATGGAGACTTAAGACAGGCCCAGGTTGGAGTATCTTTGCCACACGTTGTACTTTTGACTCCAGAACTGCAGAATGTATGGGACTGTTGAGCATCAATTTCGCAGAACTCTTTGTGGTTTATTTTTATTTTTGATTACCTGACAAAGAGGAACCAACCCAACGAAAAGTCAGCGTGGTAATGCTACAGTATGTCTACCTTTTTTTTTTTTTCAAATAAAAAAAAAAAAACGTCACAAAAGTGGTATGGAACAAGAGAAAAGAGGAAGAAATCTTTGTGCTTTTGTGAAGACTTTAGTGGAAATCCATCGTCTTTCTCCAATGTTTTGACTGTTTCTGTACGGTATATACGTGGGAGCGTGTTTGTGTGCTTGACAGATTGTATGTATGTGGTATGTATGTGTATGTATAGGCATTCTATCAGTGACCTCTCAGTTCCTCTTACCCAGCTTTCATTGGGGGAGGGATGCCCCCTAAAATACTGTACGGTTTACCATTGGTGGGCTATTCAAATTTTCGTCTATTTTAATTTCCTTTGTAACTCCAGTGTATAACAAACCAAACTATGACCTCATTAAGATAATAGTATTATTAAAAAAAGCACAAACATGGACCATCTGCAGAAAGTGTCTTCTTTTTTCTTTTTATAACATTAAGAGCGATGCATTCAATGTGAAGATCTGGCAGCTCTGCAGCGCCACGATCATCTTCAGTCCATTTCAAGTTGTGGACGATTCAAATATTGGGCTCCAAAACTTTTTAGGACTTCGCCAGCGTGAATAATACCGCCAATACCCAGACGTGCTATGTGTGTTCTTGTTCCTGTTGTGTTCCTGTTTTGTTTTGACTCTTGTTGACTCTGGGTAATAATCATTCCCACAGCAATAATCCTCCCCCACCCCACCTCGGTGGTTCGTAGAACGGGACAGGAGTGGCTGGTATGCAAGAGCAGGTTTGCCAGGTGATATAGAATTAGAGCCAAGTAGATCTGGTAACGCTGAGTTGAGGCGAGTGTGATGTCCGAAGTGAGACGCACAGAAATGTAAACGCATACTGCTTACCATCCAGCTGACTTCCTCTCTATTGTATAAGCTTGTCATGTGTTTCTCCATTGGCTTTGGTGCAGAATAGCTTACCAGGGCTGTGGTGATGGACTTACAAATAAAAGATATTGTTTTGGTATATACATGTTGTCCATGGAGTGTGTGTGTGTGTGCGCATGTTTCTGTTCACGTGGGTCTCGATTTATGTGGACAAATCACGTCTTTGTCTCTGCGTGTCAAACGAGGAAAGCGCGTTGTACCATCGAGCAGCAGCATTGATACGTTGACAGTTTCATCAGGTGAAAACTATTTTCAGAGGCCACACTTCCCAAAAGACTGCAGTCATGTTGATGAATTCATGCGTTAAGGAAAGTTATTTGAACCACTTAAGATTTTACATACAGACCACCTCACCCTGTAAATGTGAAGCGAAATGTGAAGCGAGGGAGAAAAAAAACAAAAAAACAAAGACTTTGAATAAAGTATGTATTTATGTCTGAACAATTCAAACAGCATTTCCCCGTCTTATGAGGTACAAAGTGTAGCAGAGCTCTAGTCGACAACTCACAACTGTTACAGATGTACTCATTGCTATGGGGCTATCTTCGGTATAAAAATACGCATCATATCACTTTGTTCATCTTTTCTCATATAATCTAAACATGTCACTCAAAATGCTCAATATTTCCCCAAAGAATAAACGTGTGATATATATACACCAATTTTATATATATATATACACACATCGTGCACACATATTTATAGTGTCACACATTTGATTGAAAAAATGCATCAGATATTTAGATGGACCTGAATGCATAGTTTGCATTTTAAAGTTCTGTGAGACTAAGAACAAGGCCTATGAAGTGACTGATAATATTTTACTACTGTTTTCTCTAAACAAAACCAGCGTTATTTATCATAAAAACATGTTTAGGAAAAGGCTTTTGGTATATTCTTATAGTAAACTCAGTCCTTTTAAGTTATTCACATTCAGGAGCTTCACTCAACTAGAGACAAATATTCATTATAATAAGCGTTTTATATATAAAAAAGAAAACTTATTGCTCTGATGCTGAACTTTTTGAACTGCTTTTGTAACAATCTGCAGATAAAACTAGTGCGGATTTTTAAAAATTAAATGAGCTGTTTTCCCTACCGGTAATGTGATTGTCAGCAAAATGCTAACAAGAGTAAGAATAAAAAAAAAACGACTACCACCCTAATTACTAAACCATACAAGGATGCAGGCGTATAAGTGTGCAAACCTGTGTACTTGTACAAAGTAAACACATTGCAAAAGATTCTCAGCCTATGCTTGCCACTATTTCTTGTGATTAAAGAAATATTAAATCTGATGCAAACTGAAAGTTCAACTTGTGTCAAACTGATATTGCTGTAGCTGGATGAAGTGAGAGCAGAAAATGTCAACGCATGTATGTGTAACGGGAGTGTAACATCTGAGCAGCTTGCTGAAGGTTCAGATTTCAGTCCGACCTTCTGGGTTGTTGCAACGTGAGCGATAGAGTTCAGAGCTGAGCGAGTGCGCAGACAGGACCTGTTTAAACTCCTGCAGGGGGCAGTAGACTCCACTACAACCTGGGATAAGTTGATCCTGTCAAACAAAGCACAACTTGGATTTGGGGGTAAAGTACAATTACGTTGTTTTCCTGCTATCGTTTAGTATTTTACCCCTTACCTGTCCTGCGTATGACACCTTAACAAAGGCTTCGCTGGTCTGTCTGTTTTGGTGCAGCTCCAGAGTGATGTCCGCAGCGTACGGTGGCCATCTCATGTCAAAAATGCCCAGAGCCATGAGGCAGGGGATCAGAGTGGTGTCGTGCACCGAGTACAGAAACAACTTCCTGTTTGAAAGAGGATTTTTTTTTTTTTTATTGAAGCTGAGAAAGACTGGTTGGTTGAAGAAGTGTGTCCATGAGGTGTCCAACCTGTCTGACTCTGATGAGATGCCCTGCAGTTTCTTCTCAATGTTTTCCCCCAGTACCTCCAGGAGGGGTCCAACACACAGCTGCAGGTTCTCCCTGTCGCAGACACAACAAAGGAATTAAACACGTGGCCTGTTGAGGTCAAAAGAACAGTGTTGTGTTATTAAACAGGATCTGCTTTTACTTTTTACTGGGATCAAAGATGTGGTACATCATGTCCACAGCTCTCTGCTCCACCGTGTTCTTCCAGGAGTTCAGCACCGGCGGGTTTGGAAGCCCATGCGTCTGGTAATGCAAACACATCTGTTACCATCAGATTATGAATTATACCAGGTTCATTTGAACAAACTGATCTGTTGTGCAGAACTAGCAGCAAAGTTTCAAATCCACTGAAATGGAAACAAAAAGCTGACTTCTACTAAAACTTTTTGATATTCCTATTGGATAAGGAACATTTTGAAAATTATAACTAATTTCTGAGCAGATAAACAGCTACACAAATTCTGACAGGAGCACATGGAAATTACTTGGATGAGAAAATGTAATGAAATGGAAGCAAGATATGAGAATTTCACCTTCATCTAAAAGTTTTCTTCAAGAACATCAAACTTGGGGCTCTTTAAATGAGTAAAACCAGTTGTACCTACACCCTGACGATGGCTCAGGGGCATCGCATGTGGTTCGTAGCACGGCTCCAAGTTTAATAGATGCATCGCTTTTCTTTTTATTCCTACAGGCGAGCTTTGCAGACAATTGTTCTTTAATTGTGTTCCAAGTACTCTGTACTGTACTCTGTAGTAGTTTGAGGATAAAGTTGATTGCAAGCTGACGCAAAACTTTATCTGCGTTTTAATACAAAAGCTGAATGTATGTTGGCGATAAACAGGGAAAAAAAAAAAAAGCTAAAACACAATATCAAAACTATACCATAATAAAATTTCAAATATAAACAAACAGGAAATCAGAGAATCCCAGATTGATGTGAAACAATAACTTTGATGCTAAAATGTACAATGGCAGTATTTTTATTTGGTTCCTGGTCTGATTGGTCAAAGTAGAATGGATTTATTTAAATAACTTTAAAAAAGTCTTACATTTTCTTAGTTATAATCCCACCACTGCCATGAAATGTGCAGTTTTACAGCTTTTGAGCTACGATTTGGTGCGGAAGTAGCCAGTGCTAACAAATAACACAAGATTATTCAAATCCTATTCAAAACTTTAGCAAGCAAGACGGTGGACATTTATTCCTTTAAGGAATGCTCCTTTACTTAGAAATGCTTTTATTCTTAATTCTAGCATTTTTAATGTCAATGTCAAATAAATCACAAATCAAACTCCTCATTTTGAATTTCTCAAACTAACATTTGAAAGTCTACAAAACCGATTTACTTTGTCTTTTGCTAACAAACCCAGCAGCTGGCCACGTTTTAGATGCTTGTGAGAGCTGAGACAAAGTCACATGGATCACAAAGCCGGCGTCACCTCTCTGGCAACCATGTCATCCCTAATGAGGATGAAGTCGACGCGCTGGTGAGCTGCGATCCCCAGTGCGCTCTGGATGCTCTGCAGGTCTGCAGCAATGCCTGGCAGAGTGGACGACTCGGCCCAGCGGTGGCTGCAGAGAACACACGGTGTCACCCACAAAACACAGACACGCAGTGACAACCTGTCAAAAGCATCTCTACTCTGCTTAGAATTTCATACAGTACATTATTTTAGATTCCAGTTCATGGCTGCAAGTGCATGGGAAGGAAGGAGTGATGCGAGTCTGGCAGGTAGGAACATTTGATGTACCTGCAAAGAATTTTGAGCAGCTTGCATCCGTAGTAGTTCGGATAGAGAATTTCAGTTTCTCCCTCGGTTGTTAAAATAGGCACCGTTTCTAGAAGCAGAGATAAAGAAAGAGACCACAGCAGATTAGGTGGGATAAAGATAAAAGATAAATAATGTGCACACACATATTTCTGATCAACCTTTTTGTTTTTGCTGGAAAAGCCCGGCTACCAGGCACTTGGCAGATTCAATGGTCCTCACAATGTTAGTAGAGCGCACACTAAAAATGGCAAAAACAGGTCAGGGGAGGGAGCCGGCCTTAAAATAGCAACATTTACTCATGAATTCAATCTTCAAGCACTTACTAGACCTCATCAGGGCTGTAGATGGGGCTCAGGAAGGCTCTGTCCTCAACATATTTCCTCCTCAACCTTTGACCCAGCTCGTACAGCTGCTGCATGCCCAGGGTGGTCAGCTGACCGGGGAACGTGCCACCCTGTTGAATGCACATGCACACAGGAAAATTAAACAGTCTTAGATAACATATTCAGTGATTTCTGAATTAAATTAAAAAGAAAGACTCTTGAAAAGAAGCATGAACACGAACATCTTGATGCTGCTCAATAATCCAGGTAGAGAAATCTACAGTACAGTCCATTTAAAAACACGTCGTGTAAACGGGGCCTCAGTGTCTCAGACTGAAGGTCTTTTGGAGAAAAGATGAAACATTTCAACAAAGAAGAACCCGTCCAGAGGACCTGACTTAACCTCGTTAGACATGAACACGAACATATTCACAGATTAGACAGAAATGTACAGAGAAGGTCAACAAGGAGGAGGTGACTGACTGAAAATTGAATATTTTATAAAAAGAATGTCTGAAGACTCTTTTTGCACATGTAACTAACCTGTATAAACAAAGGTTGAATGTATCACACAAAACCAAACGGCTTAAATCGCTGCAGACGTGACCTTGTCACCATTTTGTTCTTAGTGCAACAGAAACGTGTTATTTTCTATCTCTTTTTGTACAAAGTTAGCCAAAATATCTGCTGGTCTAGTTAAGAACATTAACACATGTCAAGAGTGTTTTTCTGCGTGTATTTTTCTTTTCTTTCACCACAAAGCTCTGAGCAGAACGTAATCAAACCAGCAGGGACGATGTGTTCATTCAGGCAGTTTTAAATGTCCGCCCTCAGACTGGAAAAGCTTACATCAGAATATTTTGTTTTTTTTCTAAATATGGTTCAATGTGATATTGCACTTTGCAGAATTTTCACGAGAACATTCACTTTAGAAAAGTTTTAAGTTAAACTGTTTAAACTCTATAATAGAAAACTAGCTTGTGTGTATCAGGCAGGACAAATGAAGCCTTTTATTACAAATGCAGCTGTTTTGAGCTTCACAGCATTAAGTGATTCTCAGCATCCTGACAAACCGAAGAAGATGAAGGCTGCAGAGATACTGCCAGAGATCTACGAGAGAGGACAACGCATGCACGTTTACACGCACGTTTAACGCAGCACAGAAACCCACAGCAGCATTTTGTGCCACTTACTGGAAGTCATTGATTCTCAAGGCCTCCCTACAGATCCAGGACAAAACAATGAGCTGTAAATTTCTTCCAAGTGCCCAGCTTCAGCAACAATAACGTGTGAAAAAGAGAATGACACATTTTTTATTATCACCATAAAGAACTTTGTTTATCCGGGCTTCATACAGCAGCAGGTTATTTACCATCAGTGTAAAACTAATGCTTCAGTGCAGCTTGTAGAATATGGAAAAACTGCTTTGACTTTACAGTGAGAAGTTTTATTAATTTGTTCATGTGGTTGTTTTTAAAAATTCTGTTTTGTGATTTTTATTGTGGGTGTGAAGCATCTGAACTCTCTGACCTCAAAGAAAAAAAAATCACAGTAGATCCAACAATTAGGCCTGTCACGAGAACAAATTTTGCTTGGCGATTAATTGACTCAGAAATTATTGCGATAAACGATAATATTGTTTGAAATTTGACAATAATTAGTAATTGTCAAATTGAAGAATAAATGTTTTTGTTAATTTATTTTGTGTGTAGTACATTTTTTCAACCACTGGATGGCAGTATAAGACTGTTTGAACTGAAGGATGGATAGTGAGAGAGCAGCAGCGTGTCTCTTTAAGAAAAATGGGAGGGAGGCCCCTTGACATGACATGGGTTGTCTCTCGTCGGTTCTCAAAATGGCTGATGCTCGGTGTGGTTTGAGCTCTTTAGCATAGCATTTTTCACACAAAACGTTTAATAAAAAAATCAGTAAACAAGTTCTCAGCTTCTTTTTGCAGAGAAAAACAACTTTTTAGACGAAGGCACAGGTTTCAACCGAGAATTTTGGCGCTTCGACAAGACGGAGGTTTTTTCCCCTGAGGTCGGCCTGTTAGCTTAGCTTGTAGCTTAGCTTCTCAGCGTAGCTGCGTTTAACGATCCAAAAATGCAATTTTGGATCGTTAAAATGGATTTTAAAGAGAAAGGGAGAGGTCAGTGAAGAGCGCAGCTTTTTGTCATCCAGTGTCTTCAGAAGAAAGAGAGCGACAAAGAAACGATAAAGCCGATAAATGAAAATGAGCAGATAATTTTCATTTATCACACGATTAATTGATTTATTGTTTATTGCAACAGGCCTCCTAACAATACAAACTATTTATTATAAACAAGTAAAAAATAAAAAAAGTTTCAAAAAATGCATCATGACATGTTTGAAAGCATTACCAAACACAGCATGTTTTATGTGCATGTGAACATCACAGTCAGGGCTGAAAGGACACATGTGGAGCCCTGTTTAGCAACATATAATCCACCTACTCACGCTCAGTATGTTCTTCCGATAGTTGTCCTCGACAGGAGCCGGAGGCCTGGGTCCACCCTGCAGATCTGTCACCGTGTAGTTGATGTGTGTGTGGGGTGGTGGTTCCAGGAGTGTTGGGACCCACTGGGCCTTTAATGAGACAAAACAAAGAATTGCACACAGACATCCCAAAACGAAAACAGCATGTATGAACAAGTTGAGAAAATACAGTAACCCGTTTCACCTCCATCACGTCGGGGATTGACTTTAGTGGCGTTCGAGCGCCGTGCCGGAACAAAACCTGGACCAGTTTGAGTTCATAGGTAGAACCAGAGTTTGTGTCAGAAGAGGGGGTATCTGAAGACTCTGGTGTCGAGTCGGTCTTCTGTTGTGACCAAAACATGGAGCTAAAGGCCACCGACACGGAACCTAAAAGTCCTGCTGTACCCAGAACATTCCTCATCGCTGAGCTGCAAACAAACAAAATCCTTAATCGTTAATGTGACACAATTTATTCTTTAGAACGGCGGTTTTTATCCTTTTACTCATCGACAAATCTAAAAAGATGAAACTTTGATTTATTTTGACCCGCGTCATCAACAAGAACTGAGCAGCGGTTTCTCTTATAGTGACACAAAAAACATCTGGCAACTCCAAAACATTGTATTTGGCCTTAAACGGAGTCCAAAACAAAACCTTCCTCACATTTCTGCACAGAAACAGTGACTCAGCAGAATCAGTGACTTGTAGACAATAAAACTTGACAGATTATTAAGCTTATTTTACTAAAAACAAACTGAATCAGAATCAATTGGTTAACATTAACATTTAAACTGTGCAAGTTCTCGTTTTATATCCATTTAGACGTTTTCTAATTAAAAGTAAAATAAAATAAACAATTTAATAAGTTTATAAGCACAAAAGCTAAATCACTGTTTCAATAATATCACCAGAGATTTCTTACCTTGTTAAATAAATCCAATGATGACAACAGTCAAGAGTTTAACTCACTATAAAAGTGCATGTAAAGTAATTTACCACGAGGAAGTGTGAAAACAACATCCTGAAACTTTTATGTTAGAAGTTATAAAAGCTTTACACAAAAAGCCACGAACTTCCATAAATAGTTCAACAATAAATGGGACAAAGTGCTCCCTCTCCAGGGGGCGGAGCTCTGCCTCATTGAATATTCATGCGACCTGGTTTTATCGTAAAGTCCTGAATACAGAAAGATAATGCGTCTGTTTTCACTGAGGTTAGCCCGAGTTTAGCTAACAGGCACCGTGCCAACAAACTCTTACGAAAACCGGCCACACGCGATACCTGTCGAGCCGTGCCATTATAACACAACACAACCTGGAACAAACTCACGAGCATCTTTAAAACCACTCAGCTGAGCAGAAACAACCACCTCTTGTGTCGTTACTTACATTTTTATAGCAAGCGGAGGATAAAATGATGAGCTACTTTCGGATTCACTTGTCGTTCGGGACCTCTTCCTACCGGCACGGAAAACATGTAATCGCTGGGAACTGTAGGCGCGCGACAGCGATTTTACAGTTACAGTAACGGTGACGTAGTACCAAGAAACTACAGTTCCCAACATGCACAAAAAACAGGCTTGTTTGTTGTTTACCGCTGAAGATTCACGAAGAATATGGTTCAGTAAAGTGCACTACCTCCCTCTATTGGACATAAATGTACCGCCAAAGTGTCTTTATTAATCATTCATTAAACAAATAATCATGTAGAAACGATAAATAAATATTAATATATAATAAAATTTATTTATATCTAATAAATACTCTACTTTGTATAAAAAACAAGTTACAAATTACAAATTACTGTTAACCACATAAAATAAATGATAAATGAAACAATGTGAACTATTTTGGTGCATGCCAACTTGCAACTGGGATTTATGTAAATAAATAAATAAATAAATGTGTTTTTATATAAAAAAACTAAACACAACAGACCATCGTAACAAATAATATTCATTATTCATAAAAAAACATAATCAACACCTATTATATATTTTGTTGTATTTTATTTCAAGTAATAAACACAAAACACAAGATTATTATTACTATTATTGTTGTTGTTGTTGTTGTTGGTGGTAGTAGTATTAGAAGTAGTAGTATTTCTATGAGAGTTTTCCTCAGTGTAAGCTACAAACAGGTTAAGTGATTATTCAACATGGAACTGCTAAAAACACAATGTATTGCATCATCATTGAATAAAGCGATGAAGCCAAGTCCACTGTAATTAAACTTTGCAACTCTGATCCACAAATATCAAATCTCAAGTTGAAATAAGAGCCTAGTCTGATGTTCTGTTTCAGTTGTGAATGCTCAGGTTGGATGTTGATGCTCATCTTTCTGGCAGACGGAACGAGACAATCTGTGTTTGTGTAAATATTCCTCATAATTCCCAATCTGGCTCGTTCAGGTTCTGTGTGGTGATAGCAGAGGGTGTTTACATTTCTTTGTTTATATTTTTGGTATATTTTAAGATTTTATCACATGATTTAGTGTGTCAGCTGATGTCACAAAGAAAAATGAGTCAATTTCTTTATTAAAAGCACCAAATTAATATTACACCTTGTGATAACCGCATAAAAATGTATATAATTTATTGATTTGCTATAGGTTAGTGACCGTATGGAAGAAAAATAAAACCTGTACTGACTGAACAGAAGTTCTGTTTTCTTTGGATCAATCCTGTAACTCTTCAAGCAACTGGTTGTATTAATTTTTATTCATCAGAACAATTATTCAGTATAGTATGAAATGAAAACTTGAATAAAAATACATTAAAACACAGAAACTGAAACATACAGCACAAAGGAACGACTATTTACACAAAAACTTGAGTGCAAAGTCCAAAGAAGTGCAATGTCGCCACCTAGAGGCTAATATTGTTCATTACAAGCGACTAATCAAAATCTTTGCAGATGGATCAATTAAAATGACTGAAAAAGATTACATTCTCCCATAACATTTGCTCAAAAAGTCCAACTTGAAACATCTGACAAATGAAAAAATACTTACTCAACATATTATTGTCAAGTTACAGTTTATATGCAATGCAAACAAGACAACGGAACTGTGCACGAAACAATTAAAAGAGCATGTAAAACAAAATAATTACTTTTAACACTTATGAAGGCACTTTTATTTTATTTCCTTCAAACACAAGAACATTTTCACAGTTTCTGACATTTTAAATCCTTTCTTTTATTCATTGTAGACTTATTTTTGCATTTGGAAAATGATTTTTATTAAAATCAAAGTTTATTGTGTAATTAACTGGATGATTGAGATGTGCGTTTATTTATTTGCTTTAAAGTAAACCAACTCCTAAAGTCTTCTCACACCAATACTGACGCATGGTGCCCATCTCATCCCTTTCTTTAAGCAAAAAACGTGCAACAGTCAGGTACCACACCTGTTACCCTGTTTCTATTCATCTTTTGCAGTTTAGCAGTTTTATTTTTTTCAAGCTCCAGGATAAAACTTCTGTCTATGTAAAGCTGACATCGTCCTCCCACAGATGTCAGGGTTTCTGTCTTTTGTGGACTTTTTCCTTTTGGTCGACTGTCAGGCCTCAGTGTCTGGATTTGCCTGATTAGTCAGACGGATTTTTATTTTAGAAGAAATTATAAGACATAATAAAAAAAGAATGAAAACAAAACAACACAACTGGACTTGTATTCTGAAGTGAATGCATATTATTTTAAAAATAGAAGTCCAGTTGTTTTGTTTTTAATATTTTTATGTTTTGTAGAAGACATTTTCTGTTTGTTTCTGAAGTCGAGCCCTTCCTCTCCCCTCATGGTGCATCTACACTGCCAGGTCATCTTGTCGAGCCCGACTGCTGGTCCCGCTGCTCTTGCTCAGACGCCGTTTGTCCTTCTGGTACCCGGAGTGCAGCGGAGGTGGAGGGGAACAGCTGTTGGGGAGCTCTGAAGACGTCTGCTCGTATCTTATCCTTAAAAAGTCCTCCTCGTCCTCCAGGTCGTTGCAGCTGCGATGCCGCTCTGTGGCCAGGTTGACCGAGTTCTGCTGCAGCGCCATCCTGGTGTTGAAAGGGTGAGAGGTCAGGGAGGTCAAGGGGTTTGGGTCTGCTAGACAGTGGTTGAACTCAGGGGGTGGGGTGCAGGGGGTGGAGGGCTGCGGGTGGCTGTTAGACTCCAAGGCCGGGGACACGGTCACCGCTCTGTGGCTGCTCTTCTGGATCATCCTTCTATGAAGGCACTTCTTGAGGCTCTTCCAGCCGAGGTGGTAGAGCTCCAGCACAGACAGCAGGAGAGACACGCCGGCCACCACCAGCATGAAGACGATGAAGACGTTCTTCTCTGTGGGGCGAGACATGTAGCAGTTTACGGGGTTGGGGCAGGGCCAGGACTTGCACAGGTACAACGCCTTGAGGAACACGCCATAGATCAGATACTGCACCACGATGAAGATCACCTCCATCACCGTTCGGATCAAGATGCTCAGGATGTACGTCTGCAGCAGGGCTCCCTTTAGACGAACACGGACCGTCCCCTCTGAAGCAACCTCCTTTCTGCTTTCATTCTGCTGGAGGTACTCCTTCTCCTGGAGGTCTCTTCCATCTTCCACCCTGGCCTCCTTCTCCTCCTTCTCCCTCCTCCTCCTCTTCTCCTCCATGCGCACCGTATGCATGGCGTGGCCCATGTAGATGAGGGACGGCGTGGAGACAAACACAATCTGCAGGACCCAGTAGCGGATGTGGGCGATGGGGAAGGCGCTGTCGTAGCACACGTTGGTGCAGCCGGGCTGCTGCGTGTCGCACAGGAAGTCGCTCTGCTCGTCACCCCACGACGACTCCGCCGCCGTGCCCAGCACCAGGATGCGAAAGATGAAGAGGATGGTGAGCCAAACCTTCCCGACTGAGGTGGAGTGTTCCTGGACCTCTTCAAGGAAATTCCCAAGAAGACTCCAGTCCCCCATTCCTGCTCACGACCAGCGTGCACACCTGAGAGGCAGAGGCTCAAGAGGGGAGGGAGCAGGAGAGGGTTGCACACTGAGATGGAGGACAAGTAGAAGAAGAGAAGACAAAAGGGAAATATCAACAATTAGTTCAGGGCACGTGCAGGTTTTTTACATTTCTACTAAATAAAGTGACTGCGTGTCATAAAACTGTGTGTTGTCCTGTAATACAAAATAAAAAAATAAAAAAACACGACTGGTTGGGCAATAAAAGTTTTCAATCACTAGTCCAACAATCGATGCATTTCATTTGTGCATTTTGTTTGTTTTTGTTTTGTAGCGGAGTAGGCCTGTCATGATAAATTTTGCTGGGCAATTAATTTTCTCAGAAATTATTGCGATAAACAATAATATTGTTTGAAATTTGACAATAATTAGTAATTATTGTCAAATTTAAGAAGAAATGTTGGTCAATTTTTGTGTGTGCTACCTTTTCCCCACCTCCAGATGGCAGTATAAGACTGTTTGAATCAAAGGATGGATAGTGAGGGAGCGAGCAGTGTGTCTCTTTAAGAAAATTGGGAGGGAGGCACCTTGACGTGACATGGGCTGTCTCTCTTCAGTTCTCAAAATGGCAGACACTCGGTGTGTTTGGAGTTCTTTAGCATAGCATTTTTTGCACAAAGCTTTTAACAGAAATTCCATAAACAAGTTCTCAGCTTCTTTTTGCAGAGAAAAACTTTTTTACACGAAGGCACGGGTTTCAGACGTGAATTTTGGAGCTTCGACAAGACGGAGGTTTTTTTTTTCTTCTCGAGGTTAGCTTAGCTCGTAGCTTAGTTTCTCAACTTAGCTGCTTTTAACGATCCAAAAACGCGATTTTGGACGTTAAAACAGATTTGAAAGAGAAAAGAGAAAGGGAGGGGTCAGTGAAGAACAGTCTTTTGTCATCCAGTGTCTTCAGTAGAAAGAGAGACACACGAAGAAACGATCAAGCTGATAAATGAAAATGAGGTTGATAATTTTCATTTGTCATGTGATTAATTGATTTATTGATTTTTTGTCACAGGCCTTTAGAGGAGTGGATCGGCTGCCCTGTTATCTGAACAGCTGTGGAGGAATATGGGGTCAAAAAGATGAAAAATTCACCGATTTGAGATTTTGTTTTTAAACCAAAGAGTTACTAAATTTTTTTGACAAGACGTACAGAACACCAACTTTATATGAAGACTTCCAGCAGCTTTGTCCCACTGACAGTGAACATGCGGCCTTTAGTGTCACAACACGCAATAATTTGGAAAATCAGAAACCGCAGGAAAAACGTGAAGCATCGTGTTCCTGATGCGTCGCACCGCTTGGTGCACCATGGAGCGGCAACAGAGATAAATGAGGGATCCAAAGGGACGGTCGGGTCAGCAGGGACTATTAAATGTCTTAACCATACCATACCATACCAATTTATTTATATAGCACTTAAAACAGCAACAAGGCCAACCAAAGTGCTGTACAAAAGAACACAAACATGCACAGCGGACAGGAAAACATAAAATAGAAATACAGATACAAATAGCAGCAGAAGCTAACTAAAATGGCCAACAGAGTAGAGAACAGACTGGACCAAAACAAATCACACCGTGTTAAAGGCAAGCGAATAGAAGTGAGTCTTCAAGCGAGACTTAAAGACTGAGAGTGTGGGAGCCTGCCGGACACTCAGTGGCAACTCATTCCACAGTCGTGGACCTGCAACAGAGAAAGCCCTGTCACCTCTGAGCTTACGACGGGTTTCTGGGACTGAGAGAAGCATCTGGTCTGCTGACCTCAGAGAGCGCGGTGGGACATATGGCTGCAGAAGATCAGTGAGATAGGATGGGGCGGAACTGTTCAGTGATTTAAAAACATACATGAGAATTTTGAAATGGATCCGAAGGTGAATGGGTAGCCAGTGCAGGGAGGCCAAAACTGGCGTGATGTGCTCTCTATAGCCTGTACCAGTTAAAAATCGGGCTGCAGCATTTTGGACCAGTTGTAGACGAGCAATGGAGGACTGACTGATTCCAAACAGAAGTGAATTGCAGTAATCAAGCCTAGATGTTATGAAGGCGTGGATCACTGTCTCGAGGTTCTTTTTATTGAGTATAGGCTTCAGCTTAGACAGCCGTCTTAACTGGTCAAGGCGTCAGAGTGAATGAGTAAACCTTTATGCAGCAGAGAATAATGACTTTAAAACAATTAACACCAACTGGACATTTGATGCATCTCGGATGAAAATGATCTCCACAAGGTGCAAGAGGAAACAGCCTCAGCATTCATTGGTAAAAATAAAAATAAAATAGTATATTTGTTTAATTAGTTGGGTGGTGGTGCAGTGCAGATATCGATTGTTTAGAATAAAATTGTTGGCAAGTATTTTTTAAATTAGAATTAGTTATCTGTTTTGGTTCCTGTAAATTAAACTTTCAAAAAATGCATTTTAAACACACGGAGAAGACAGGTTATTTGGTGATTTATTTATTTTTATGTGCAGCTTGATGTTAAAATAATACGAGAGTCCATAATTCAAATTCTGAATCATTAAGAAGTTGTTTGAATCAACACAGAAGTTTTATTTTCCAGAAAGTTATATAGAGTCTTTGGGGATGGGATGATGAGTGTGAATTGTAGCGTGTTCATGTTTTTTATTTAAATTGTGCATTTATTTACTGCTCAAAACTCTTGAATGACGACAGTTACCAAGTTAAAATAAAAAAAGAACAATTGTCTTTAAAAGAAACAAGCATCAACAGATTCCAATCACCAACACTTGATAAATTTAACTGCCCCTTCCTTTATGATGCAATATGACAAAATATACAGCACCTACAGTTACTATTTGAAAACATACCAACATGCACATGTACTAAAGTATAAGACATTGACTTAGACTTATGTACTTGTTCAAATAGCAACAACAGATTTTTTTAAGTAACAGTAAAGTAGTTCCCCTGCGATCTGCTCGATGACTGCAGGCTCATGAGCGCTGCAGGCAGAAAGTCAGGGGGAACAAACTGAAGTCATGTAGAATGAAACAAGCATGTTACTATAAGGAAAAGATTCAGTGTGGTGCTACATGGCTGGACGTTCTCCCACTCGATGCAGCACAGGGAGGTTAGTCGACGCTGGAAGACTTTGCCCTTTTAGTGCACTGACCTGCTCTGAGCTGCCTGCAGAGCATCACCAGCAGACTTTACTCAGAATAAAATAAAAATAGAGCTTTAACGATGAAAACCTGCAGATCTTGTGCTGGGCGGAATAATCAGATTTCTTCTTTTTGGTGTAGGTTTGTGCGACGATTCGTATCAGGACTCAAACGTTCGAGACCCAAACATGGCCGTGACAAGACGGCCGGTCTCAGCCAACGATGACCCTATAAGGTTCTTTACAGACAGCTTTATGTGCGGCACATATCACCTCATCATTGAGAGATTAGGACAACCCATCAAGGGTGTGACCTCTGACCTCCACGTGCTGCATGTCCTTTTGGCTACTTGAGGTTTTTGCAGCGCGGTGATGAACGAGCTGTGAGACAGATGTGCTGAAGGTAACAACACGTTTAAAGTTAGCCTTACTTGGTGAGGCTACAGAAAATGTGTACATTCTTAAAAAGCTTTAATGGTGTCTAAAGTGCAGAAATGATAAACAGAATAAACACAAGGAGTGAAAAAACATGACTTAATGCTTCTTTTACCAACATGTGCATCGTTCTAACTGTAATCCTTTAATAGTTATAGTAAGAGTTGAAATGACTGTGAAACCTTATTAATCCAGCAGGTGCTCATCCTGTCTGTCACAAGATTTTCTTTAGACTGCTGCTTTTCTGTCCAGTTCATCCCTGATCATGACAACATGTCATGTGAGTGACAGAAGGAGGACTAAAGAAGTGTCACGTGTAAAAACAAGCCTGTCTACATCACATTAATAGAAGTTAAAAGAAATGTCTTCTCAGAATCAGGAAAACAAGTTCTGACAGGACCTGAGACATTTTCATCATCAGCTAATAGCTCTTTGGGCATCATCTTGTTCTGCTAAAATACTTATTATATTACTATTAGTAACAAAGATACTACTAGCAAATGTAGCAAGTGCTTCGGGTTAAAGAAAAAATTATATGTTTCTGATGATCTTTCTTCCTTCCTTCTTCTTTGAAGGTTGTGGCCAAATGCTTTAGAAGGTCTGGACGTAAATTTTGTAGAACCTTAAAGTCTTGTTTGTACTGCAGGGACACAATGAGCAACATACTTCCTATGTGATAAGTTCTGCTGCTTTAACACAAGCTGGTTGCCCTTAAGCAGAATATTAACACCTTTAAGGATGGGGCAGGTTGGATTTTTACATTTCTCCACATTAATAAGAAAATATGGCTCTTCTTCACAGACTGGACCTCTTGTCCTGAGCTATCCTCATGAACGCAACGATAATTAGATGTTTTGTTATATATGTTTTTGATTGGCTTCTCTCCATCAGGACACATTTATCATCACAGGTGCTGTTTTTCTTGCTTTGTGTGTAAAGTAAAATGTGCAGAGGCTAAATTTGCAGCAACACATCCATTGCACAATGTTTTAATAATCTATTGTATTTCAGATGAGTTGCTAGAACATTAAAGCTTTCTGATTTATTTGAAATACAGCTGCAAGATGCTTTATTTAAAAAAATTTTTTTAATGAAAAGTTTTAAAATAAATACTCACACCAGGGAGCTGTGTTGTAAAAAATACGACTGCAAATATTAAATGATCCCACAAGTTTTTCTGCGTGTACAGCAGGTGCAAATGCAACATTTTCATTATAATGTGCTTGAGTAAAACAAACAATAATAATAAAAAAAATACATAAAAAAGAAAAGACCTCAAATAATCTTCAACACTATTAAATCTTGTCACCAAATAATTCTCATCAAACAGAATACACACAAAAAAAATAACAAAATAAATAAAAAAACTAAAATAACAATAAAAAAAAATTGTTTGAACCAATTCAGATAAACATTTTAGTCTGATAATGTCTTTGCCTAAATAAAAATGCTATGAGCAGCATGCCATCATTTATTAACGTT